ATTTTTAGTAGAGACGGGGTTTCACCATGTTGACCAGGATGGTCTCGATCTCTTGACCTCGTGATCCACCCCCCTCGGCCTCCCAAAGTGCTGGGATTACAGGCTTGAGCCACCGCGCCCGGCAACTTTTGCATTTTGTATTTTGAGACTATGTTGTTAGATACACTAAAGTTTCAGATTATTTCAATTTTCTTACATTTTGACCCTGTCATAGAATGACTATTTTTAGCACAAATATTGCCTTTTGTGATAGACCATCTTATCTGGTATAATAGATAATTTAGACTAGCTTACTTATTTTTAGTTTTTGCCTGGTGTAATTTTTATATCCCTTTACTTTCATCTTTTTTGTATCCTGATATTTTAGATGTATTGTTGATAAAAGCATGAAAGCAGGATATTGTAAAGGCCATTTTTCTCATCTTTTGACTTGACTGTTTAATTCATTCCAACATTTCTCATAATTGTTGATGTATTTGGGCTTATTTCTATACCAGTTATCTATTGCTACAGAACAAACTGCCTCACTGTTTTTCTGCTTATGATTCCATGGGTCAGCAGTCTCGCCTGGGCTCCTAGTGGCATGGCTGAGGAAGGGTGGTCTTTGACGGCTTTACTCACATGTCTTCAAGTTGATGCTGGCTGTCCTCTAGCTCATGTCTCCACTAGGTATCTTCACATGGTAGCTGGGTTCCCTGAAGTCAGTTATAGACGTCCTCTAATTTTATCCCTAAATACTTTTACGTGTATTTTTAAACAAATAAGGATACTTTTATATTTATCTACAGTGCCATTTTTATATTTGGCAAAAGTAACTATTCTATCATCTTACACTACCTAACCTATGTTCAAATGTCCTGTGACTCATGTATTTATAATTTTTTCCAATTTAAGATAGTTATCAATTATATGCAAGTACTAATATGTGCAATACATATACAGAAAATAGACATTTAAAAGGATGAGGTTAAAAAATTAATGGAAATAGAATACTGATGTTTACTGTTTTTTTTTTTATTGCATTTTAGGTTTTGGGGTATATTTGAAGAACATGCAAGATAGTTGCATAGGTACACACATGGCAGTGTGATTTGCTGCCTTCCTCCCCTTCACCTATATCTGGCATTTCTCCCCATGCTATGTCTCCCCAACTCCCCACCCTCCACTGTCCCTCCCGCATTTCCCCCCAACAGACCTCTGTGTGTAGTGTTCCCCTCCCTGTATCCATCTGTTCTCATTGTTTAGCACCCGCCTATGAGTGAGAACATGCGGTGTTTGATTTTCTGCTCTTGTGTCAGTTTGCTGGGAATGATGGTTTCCAGGTTCATCCATGTCCCTACAAAGGACAGGAACTCGTTTTTGATGGCTGTATAATATTCCATGGTGTACATGTGCCACATTTTCCCTGTCCAGTCTATTATCGATGGGCATTTGAGTTGGTTCCAGGTCTTTGCTATTGTGAACAGTGCTGCAATTAACATTCGTGTGCATGTGTCCTTATAGTAGAATGATTTATAGTCCTTTGGATATATACCCAGTAGTGGGATTGCTGGGTCAAATGGTATTTCTATTTCTAGGTCCTTAAGGAATCTCCACACTGTCTTCCACAATGGTTGAACTAATTTTACACTCCCACCAACAGTGTAAAAGTGTTCCTATTTCTCCACATCCTCTGCAGCATCTGTTGTCTAGATTTTTTAATGATTGCCATTCTAACTGGCATGAGATGGTATCTCAAT